CTTCGCAGCGTATCTCGCGAGAATCGGAGTCTTCCGTCTCTTTTTCTTTCCGCTCACGTTGAGATAAAACATTTACTTTTCGCAATGTGTGTCCCGCCAGTCTTTCTTCTGACTTTTAGTCTCATTGCGAGAATATCCCCTCTGACGAGAAAATTTAGCAAATTTTAACATGAAACGTAATTACTTATGCAGCGAAGCTTGATATATGTATGTTCGCAGCCGTAAGTCCTGTACGTCTGCCCGTCGTTCTTTCTCACGAAACGGTTTTATTCGTCTCTTTGTTATAGTGAATCTCCGTAGCTAAAAATTGTCAAGAATTCATGATATCCCCTTCAACCGGTAAAAAATAATTAAAACAAAAATTCCACGCGGGATATTTCGCTGCTCGAATTTTAATGAGGGCTTCTTTTATATTTGATATATTATAATATGATATCAATATTTTCGTAACAAAGAGCTCTAATCATTAATCTTTCTTTGTACAAAATATTATATACAACGTATATGCATTGAAGACTTAAAAAAAAAAAAAACTTTCGCAGTACTTCATATACATATGAAAATTATTTTAAAAACGCTTAAACATTATAATAAATTTAACTGCCGATCATTCTTTTCAGTAACGAATTATTAATGTAAGAATACTCTTTGATGTCGCACTTTTTACAATTTTTATCTTAATAAAAGCTTTTTTTTTTTTTTTTCATTTGCGATGGCTCGTCCAGTGTGAGTCTCTTTTGAAATGGGACACGTGTTCTACAAACGTCCGAAATTTGACACACGTGTTACAGACATGATGTGTAGAGGTTCACCTGACCTCTCATGCGAATATTAACGGCAACGTATGGACGATATTCGGCCGATAAGCTCTGACGGCTGGTTGAAACTCACCACACTGCCTCTGCAGTTCATCAGATCTTGGCACAATAAACACCGTGTCGTCTTCTTTCAAAACTTGCAAACTGCACGGACCATGAATCACGGCATCTTGTAAACGGATCCACCGCTCCTCGTTCCTCTCGATTCCCGCGTACGCACCGGAAATAAGCTCCCCGGCACAATGTCAGTGAGCGGTATACTGTTTCATTGTCGATAGCATCGACTTCCGAATCTCGTGGCATCGACAAAGCTACACGAGAGAGTAGTTTCGCGGAAAATTTATCCTTCGATTATTCGTCTCACGCGCGAATAGTGCACTTCCTCCAAAAGTTAAAATTGTCGCTTGAAGGGATTCCCAGAAAGCGTAATAAATGAATGATAAATGAATAAAATAGCTGAAAATAATATATAGTAATTAAATAAGTAAAAAAGTTGAAATGAATTTATTGCAAGAGTATAATGAGTGACATTTTTGTTTGACATCTTACGAATTTTTAATAAGTAGAAATTTTACGATAATCAATTTGTGTTTATATCGTTTTTAATAAAATCAATTAACACATTTATAGAAATTTTAGAAAATTTAAATAAATGTTAAACCAGTTACAACTATATGACTGTCAGATTTGTTAAAAAAAAATTAGTTTTTTTAACATTCTGAAAAATTAATGTTGGATTTTTACGAATTTTATAAAAATTATTGTTTCAGTTATATTAATCTATTTCATGAATTGTTAATTATTTTACAATAATTTCGAATCTGTAAGATTTTTGTTATAAACAATTTGAAAAAAAAAATTTAAAAACCCTTTTATTAATCAATTTTTTGTGTAACGATATATTCCAGATATTTTTCGCGATGTTACATCCGACTCAGTCATTTGGACTCTTGTTCATGCTTTAACGAGCTATATTCCTATTGCAAAATGTACTTTTAAATTGTGTTTGCTCTCGTTGCTGATTGAAATGGAAGCGCTCAACTCGTCACACTACCAGCGCGAAACGTATTATCGTTGTGAATATATTATTCACGAATCATCAAAAGTGGACATAAAATAATAAATTAATATCAAGTGATATTTAGTCAACGTGTTGGCTAAAAACAATGGCTTTATAACAATCCGTAAATAAAGCACGTTCCGTGTTTCCAACTTTCGAAGCGGTATTATTGAATGATCAATGAAAATGCTCTCTTTCGAATGCTTTCAAGCGCTTTCTCGTGATATTACATCAATATTTTTATCAAGATCTTTCTCGAAGAAGGAAGTATCTGCAAACAGGAATATTCCATAAAGGAAAAAGGATTCAAAATCTCTCTTTGCATTTCTCGATAAAAACATTGCGTAAAAATAGTTTTCTTATACATATGATGAATATTTCAATATGTTATATATAATAGCGTATTTCGTAATGTACATTATTTAAAATACTTTTAATACATATTTTTAATAATTAATTTTTCTTATATAGAATTTTTACAATATTTTTATAAAGTAAAACAATAAAAGTACGTGTATTAATCATCAATCTAATTTCACAAATATTTTTAAAATACGTCAGAATTATTTCGTATGATTTACGAAACTAATACGGACAGCCAATTAAGCACGAAATATCCCGTAAAATTATCAAATTAATTCCAGAAATAATAGACTCATAATTCTCTTCACGTTCATAAACCGAAGGAAAATGGATGGAAGAAGGGAATAACACTGTCACGGAGTAGAGTAAGTTTGATTATCAAGATGTTGTATTGGGAAATATATCGGTCGTAACTTTCGCAGAGAGAGAGAGAGAGAGAGAGAGAGGGGGGGGGCGGGCTGGCTGTTCCAATTTGTATTAATAACGTTTTCAAATGCAGGCAAATGAGCGTAAGATACGGAAGTCGGTGAAGTTCTCATCGTCGTCATCATCGTCCTTTACACAAACGACGAACTACAACGTGCAGGCGCATCATCTTCCTTTCTCCTGTTCCTCCGTGCATCCTACGCAATGCTATTAAGCTTTCGGCTTTGGCGAAGAGAGCACTTTCGTCTTAGCTAACTGCAATTTAATTTTAATTATGGTTGAGAGAAGCCGGGTTTCCAGCTATAATATCCAGCCTCGGGGAGCAGAGCGCCATGAAATTTTTATCTCATCGAAATGCGCAATAAATCCCGCGATAAAAATCCGCAACGGCTGCATCTTCGGGGAACGAGGCGCTTAACGGTGGAGCGAAATATTCTCAATGTACACGAAGTGTCGCACGATATAAAAAAGGAAGTTTCTTACGGGACTCGGATTAAGATCTTACAATATTTCTACTACAAGTAGAACAGTACGTGCTAAACAAAAAATTTTATTGTAATAATACAATAAAATTCTATTCACATTTGTGTTTGACGTTCAACTTTTTTAAGCACACCTGCAAAAAAATGCAAACGATATGGCACACAAAAAAAAAACCTTGAACAGTGAGACGTAAGTAGTAAGCAAATTAACATATTTACTACTGCTTACTCTTATTGCCTTCTTTTGTGTGCCATGTAACCTTTAGAAATACTAAAGTTACGTCTCATCTGTGTTGCAGAGGATATCGCGCGAACAATTACTGATCCGATATTTCTCAGTTTCTCGAAGCCACTTTGTAAAATGCTCTCAGTGTATTACATTAACACCCGCTGTAAGAGCAATTTGATCAGGATAAACGGACGATCGATCGCGATAACGAACGTGATGACGTTTTCGGCAGCCGTTTCTCTCGCACGAAGCGCCACGTTTTATGCCTTTACATCAAAACCAGGATGCAGAAAACAGTAATAGAAGAGAGAAGCCTCGTTAACTTTCTGCCTAACCCTTCTCTTCCCTTCGTAATTTCGCTCCTCTGTCAAAGTCCGAAAATTTACACGGCCGAAATTTTCTCTCTCCACCCGCAAAGTTGGAATCACCTGGCAATTCGTCGGCAGTGAACGGACCGGATGGGCGGTCAGCTATTTCGACTGACAGTTTAACCGGCTATATAAGAGGTCAGCTCTCGCAATCGCATCTCGTCAGCGACACATCGGGTGATGCATGCCGTGTAATAGATGCGAAAATGTTCGCCTGCGTTTGTCGGATCGAATTCGGCTCGAAAACGATGCTTATCGGAATTATGATACCGCTCTCCGAATATGAAAAGCATCTAACGAGCGAACGCAAATAGACGCGCTGGAGTTCCGGTAGCTGGAGCTATTACGATTTCAAAGTGATATCTCTCTATCTCTATCTCTCTCTCGCATTTCGCCTTCCTTTTTCATCTCGCAGGATACTTAATTAAGCTACGGAAATACCGGAGTAACGTAAATGGACGTTACGGGGAGATAGGTACGAGCGATTGGAAAAGTTTCCACAATTTTTTCAAAGCTATCTCGCGGGTTGCTAATCAACTTCCTTTAACTGCTTCGCAAGCTGCCCATCGCCTTGCTAAAACGAATCTTTCGGATTAAAATGGAAGAAATGATATATAGATTAAAGAAGATGGTAAAAAATGTTTATAATATGGAGGAAGGACCCGATACGACTTGATCATTTCGTATCTCACAATTATGCACAATGGTTCACCTTGCTATTTTCACTATAGTTGCTTTCCATTTCGATTTTCAGATAATTCTCATTTGTGACGTCATAACTCAGTTGAATTCACGTTCCTTTTGCATTCTGACAATTGAGATTTAACTGAGTTTTTATCTATAATCTGCACAAGATCGAGACGGTGTGCTTTAAGCCCGTATCAGACTACCGACTCTGACTGTCGATGAATAATGGACCAATCACAATAATACCGATGTGATTGGTCCATTATTGGTCGGCAGTCGGGTCGGCTCTGCAGAGCAGGTAGTCTGATACGGGCTTTAGTCGGTTTTGTTAACTCATTTCAAAGTGAGGTTATGAACTATGTTCATATGTGATAACTTTTTACCAAAGTAGGCAAATGGTGACGTCATTAATCCGAGTATAAAATACTTAGCTTACTTTAGACTTAGTTTCACTTGTATGGAGAGCGACTAATGATGCCATCCACCTCGTGCAGTTACAAAACGGTCGATCCAGTCGAGGTTTTGATTTGAGTAAAGTTCGAGCGTACGTTTCTGTTTCTGTTGCAGACATGAGCATCCTTGTTTTTAACGGTTTTCTATTACTGGGCTTCGTCGTGGCTACGGTACCGGATGTTCTAGTATTGGGTTCGCCGGGCCCCACGCAGGTCATCGATCGGGATACTTCTGCGAAGAAATGCCGATACAACAGGGCCTACTCAATGCTGGAAGCATCCTGCTCGAATTTGGAGCTACATGATATCCCGACGAATCTCAAGGCTGACATACAGGTAAGATTATCAATAAATACCGTAAGTCAATCTGTTCTTATGTTAATTGAATATAATAAATATTATAAATGTAACTATATTTATTATATTAGGCGCGCAACTAAGTTCTCGCTGTTATTTTGATGCAAATGCCACGAAAATAACAGCGAGAACTTAGTTGCGGACCTAATATATAGTTATATTTTTGTACGAAATATACATCGAGTGTCTTCTCTTTGTTACTTGCAATAATTCGTATAAAATAGAAACTAATAAAAGAGTTTATGTTAAACTATACTGAAAATTATAGCAGTCTTTTATTTCTCTCCGTTCTCTTTCTTTATTCAGTTTCATATTACGCGAAAGATAATGTTAAGCAAAACGCTTAATATTAAAAGTTTTAAATGAACAATGTACAAAAGAAGTAGTTCCAACAATAAGAATTAAGATGTATAATAAGAGTTAATAATTAAGATAATTTATGATTACTTTCAAATCTTTTAACTGTCCAAGTTTCTTTTGTACAGTCGTTATATATTTTATTATCTCAATTCTTATTATATTAATTCTTACTCTATATCTTAATTCTTATTACTAAAATCTCATATTAAATAAAATAAAATTAGTTAATAACTACTAAAAAAAAAAAATAGAATTTTGGGAATATCGTGCGCTCCCTTTTGTGATCTCTTGTTTATTTCGTTATTTACATCAAAGGAAGTAAATCTGGTAACCTTAATTTACAAAGGATACACAAGACTGACTTGCGAGACGGATTGATGTCCCAGCAGGTTAACGCGTGCGCTGTCTTGTAACGCGTACTTCATAATAGCATTACAGAAGTTTCGCTTTATCAATGTCGACGATAAAACGTATATACTTGTTGATACCTTTTCGGAGACGCCTTTGTTGATCACTGTTTTATTTTTTAATGATATTTCTTTTACGGTAATAATACATTACGCGCTTTATGTAATATTAATGCGATGATAAATCTATCTTTGAGCCCTTTAATTCGTACATTGTTAACGACCGAACTTTATGTGCGAATAATTAATCACTTTCTCCAGTCGGATATTTCAACAGTATCACAACGCGGGCCCTTTGTAGAGCTCTATAATCTAACGAAATATTTTTGCATGCATGCTCCTTTCCGGAGTTTAAATCTTTTCACCGCTTTCCATACCATGTCCGCTATTTTTCTTTTTCTTCCTTCAATTGCCCGTCCGATACGACCGCAAATCCCCGTACGTCTACTACTATACTTTCGTACTTTGGTTGGTAAACTTGCCTCTCGATGAATCCCAGGCAAAACTCCAGACATGCTAAATCCGGAGATTGGGTTGTCCAGGGTCACGAGGATGGATGCGTTCCGCAATACACTTGAGAAAATTTAGTCGTGCAGAGATATTACCGATATTCTAACATCTTGATCTTTCGTATCGGAGCAACCGAGAGCAATTTCATTGCAAATTTTCTTTGGCCTGATCCAATTGAGTTTTCTTCAAGTCGCACTTCGTGTCGATAAATAATTTTTTGTAAATAGAAATTCAAAATTGATATTCTTATAAAAGATTTTGGTATCTTTGGTATTCAGTAAGAACCTCTTATTTTTCGTTTAATTTCAAACAAAACTTGTCTTAATAGAATTCTTTTTTTAATTTAACTCGTTGAATCACTTACTTTATCAAACTGTTATTGAAGGAAACATTAATTTACGTTGAAAAATCCGCCGTTAAATGTGCACTTGTGAGAATTACATGTAAATCTGTGCAACCACATATATAACTTAACGCGCATAAAGAGCTGTTTATACATTCAATCGACAAAGCTAACTCGTACGTAGAATTTAATGGACGATGTCTGGTATTTTGCAAAAATACCAGACATACTAATTTCAAAGTTAAGTCTGCACGATGTAAACGTTAACAGAAGATCCTTTTAAATATTTACAAATGTGTCTCAAATGAAATAAAGAAGAAATAAAATAGATTTTATCTCGGAGAGTTTATCTTATAAGCAGTTTAAATTCTTCAATTTTCAATAAAGCAGAAGAATAAGTAACCTATTTTCCAATTAATTTAAAATCTATCATCTATTTCATCTTAATAGAAGTTGTATTAAAAATATTTAATATTCTCTCTCTCTTTCTCTCTCTCGTAATTATATGAAATAAATAAATTAATCATTCTTGATTAATGAGACACTGCAAGACTTATAAATTTTGCAAATCAGTACGATCGATACCGAAACTCTGTAACAAGCAAAAAGTTGCATGCAAGGTTTATTAAATTAATATATAAATAAAAGGCATTGAAAGATTCGTATACCTCTTTATTGCGTTTACATACCAAGAGTCTGTGTCAAAGAAATCATTTATCCGTCGACCTAATATCTCGTTTTCTTCTTGTATTATTGAGTTAGCTATGCCATTAATTCTTCTCGTTGACTAGTCAATCTGACAAGTGCATCTTTATGGAAACAAAGATCTTATTGATAAATTCCGACCTCTTTCCGTCCAACGGAATTACCATTTTTTGCCTTTAGAAAAGAGATATTAAGATAATATTTTTGTTTATTTTATTCTTACACATATATATACTATTTATTATTTTCTCGTTGCAATAATTAATGTACCTATAACTAAACTCTAATATTACTGGATATTGAAATTATATAAGATTTTAACATTTTCCAATCCAATTCAATTGAACGATGTATGCTTATATTATTTTTATTTATACAGAGAATAATCTTTTTATAAACATATATATGTTTTTCCTGTTTTTTTAATCTTTTTATGTACATGTCTTGTTTAATTAATATTTGATGGAAATTTCTGTTACAGGTATTGGATGTTACAGTGAATCGATTAAGGGAGTTAACGAACGATAGTCTGACCTCTTACAAAAGCTTAGCCTATATCTATCTGGGTGACAATTTTATCCAAAATATCGAGGAAGGAGCCTTTGCCAAACAGAAGTATCTGGAAGTGCTAGATCTTTCACAAAATGGTTGCGACACTCTGCCGAAGAGCCTCTTCCAACTGCCGTATCTCCGCACGCTTTACCTCGGTTACAACAAGCTTACCGACTCAGTGTTCAAGATGGAAGTTACCTCGCCTATCAAGCTGTTACAGTTGACCAGGAATAAGCTCACCAAGATCCCGTATATCGGCCCTCAGCCGACCCTTGTCACCCTTAACGTGTCCGAGAATCTGATCACCTCGGTCGATACCGAGGACTTGGCGCCGTTCTGCTCACTGAAGTTCCTCGATCTCTCGCGGAACATAATCAAATTTAACGCTGCGAATAGTTGCAAATGCGAGATGTTGAATGCCTGGGCGAAGCTACATCAGATCAAGATGAAACCTAATTTCTTCAATTGCACCAACTCGAACATCATAACCGAGGATTGCACCAATTTGCAATTCAGTAATCGAACGTACGAATTGTATAACCAATGTTCGACTATCATACAGCAGAAGGTGGAGACTGAAAAGGCCCGCTCAGTCTGGATACTGGTAGTCACGTGCGTTTCGGGATTCCTTTTCGTCGTCTTCATGGTGCTGTGCTGCGTGCACAAGCGGAATCGCAGGCGACGCAGGAAGCAAAAAGAACAACAGCAATTAGCAGCGAACAACGCCAATACTGAGTTACTAAATAGCAATTTGACAACCGGTAATTCGTGAAATAATCGCTGAAAAACGTACAACAATAAAAATTGTAGAGAATCCTGTGTCGATGCCGAGAGGAGTACAGCTTTATACGAACCGCGAGGAAATGGAAGTTAAGGAGTTATCGACTTTGAAAACAAAATTAACGATGTTCAAAGTATTTGAGATACCTGTTGGTATTTATTGAGAGTTTAATCAACGGATTCAGAGAGAGAATTTAATTGGATATATCGACAGATACGTGCCTAACAGTTTGTATCTGATCATTAATATACATTTACATTCACATGTTCAATAAATGTGAGATTATAGTTTGAATTCTTCTGACGTGACTGCCATTTTCGAAGATATTACAAATTTTCAGAAGAAGTGAGATATACACTAGCCTCATAAAGCATGAACAATATAATACAAATTCGTTACCATCCAAGATATCGAGCGAAATGTGATTAGATTTTACTTAAGTAGATTACTTAAGACTCCGAAGAGAAGCGCAGCCATCGAAAGTAACCAACGGAACTTCGTGAAGACTATGCTTACAAGATATAAACGCGTTAACTTATAAAAATGTGTAAATGTTCTATATTGTGTTCACACATATATATAAATATATATAATAGTTACAATATATATATATAAGATCTATGTGAATGTGATGGATTTTCAAGAACTCTGCGTGTTTTGAATGAATATATTCATCTCATTATACTCTTTGCGATGATAGAAACTATGATTTTGATCGAACAAATCTTGGAAATCGGTCGCGCTCATTATCATACTTTTGTCAATGCAATAGCAATGCGAAGGGTAACATTTATTGCACGGTACTTAACGAAGAGTTTTCTTTCAAAGGATATTGCGATATCAAAGTAGATTCTTTTATCCAAGGATTAATTACATGATGTTGATTTTATTTTTTGTCAGAATCCTCTTTTTCTCACTTATTTTACAATTTTGTATGATGGCATTTTTATTTATTTTTTATGTAAGCTAAGAATAGGTAAGATTTTATGTGTATTTATTTATAAAAATATATAGTGTATACAACATTACATCGTAGTAGGCTAACAAAATTTATGCAATCTTATTTCTTGAAATTAGTTTTTTCTTTCTGTTTTTCTGAAACATTTCCATTATGTGGATACATAGGTACGTTACCACAATTATCATATTTAAATAATAAAGTTAAGTTATATGTAATTCGTACTTATACTTCATAATATATATAACTATATTACAGTTAATTATTATACTATAGTTATAATATTACGAAACTATATATATATGCATATAAATTATGAAGTATATGTATACTTACCTCATATAAATACAGGGTGTCTCAGAAATAAGATAGGAGCCGCATTAGGGGCGTAGAATGGGTCAAGGGGAACAAAAAAGTCTAATATCATTTTGAGATATTCGTTGTAGTTTTAAAATTAAAAAAAAAAACGTATAAGCCAATGCGGTGAAGTCGCGCCTCACTCTCAATGGTACACCGCCGTCACTACCGCGTGAGGAGCTTATACGTTTTCTTTTTTAATTCGAAAACTACAGCGAATATCTCAAAATGGTATGAAACTTTTTTATTCCCCTTGACCCATTCTATGTCCCTAATGCAGCTCCTACCTTATTTCTGAGACATCCTGTGGATATATATATATATATATACAGGGTGGCATCAAATTTCGGCCCCACTCGTCCTGAGTAGGTAGAGCGGACTAAACTGCGTCGAAAAGTCTTGTATCATTTTGCAGTTTGCACAATAATTAACGAGTTATTAACATTTAAAGATAGTCAAATACATGCGTTCGCCCGATCTATATATCTTATTGTTGAAGATACGGTCCGTGCATCGTACGATCGGTGGGCCGTATCAAAATGATACAAGACTTTTCAACTCAGTTTTGTCTGTTCTACCTGCTCAGAACGGGTGGAGCCAAAATTTGGAGCCACCCTGTATATTGGTGCAAAGAGCCGCAATTCATTTTTAGAATATAAAATATTACAGATTCGTATCATGAATGCGAAATGTTGCCCAGCTTAGTTCCTAATATTTATTTCATACGGGTGCAGAGATGATCATTTTTTGTTTCATCATAATATCGTAAAGCGAATAGAATAATCGTACCATCGAAATAACGCAACATTACGTAAATGTGACGCGCGCATTACGATATGTCAAAGAACTTTTGTACTAATTTCCATGTTACCTTTTAATATATGCGAAGGACCTTTGTATATGTATTGTATGTACAGAGATATTAATAAAACTCAAATAAAATGATCTTCAACGAAATTTAATCTTTAAAAATCCAAACTAGTTTCTGATTTTTCTCAAGATGACACATATTTAAGATTTCTAACTCAAAAACTGAAGGAATAATAAAAAAATCTACTCGATTTGAAAATTAATGACTTATATATGTTTCATGAGATACAAATTTTTTTATATATAAATATCTTTATACATATATCTAAATTTTTCAAAATTCAGCGAATCAAATTTTTAATAAAAAAATACACTCAATTTTTTTACTCTAAGATATTGAGCCATGCCCTTATTCTAAGATTTTTTTCCTTCAATCCTTTTATTTCAACAACATGCCAATAAAAATTGTTTCTCTGTCTCATTTAAATAGTAAAAGACGCAAGAGATGTAAGAGAAGAAATAAATCATTTCAAAAGGGGAAATAGTTTATTTAGAAATTCTTAAAATGGAGGAAACTATACATCATACAAAAACTGACGAAACAAGACAATTTTATTGGCAGAATACATTTTTAAATTGATGAATTTTATTACAAAATTGAATTAACATTGAAAATATCTATCGACTCTTAATAATTCACGTGAAAGTGCATCTGTTCAATATGATAAAATAATGTTCTTATATAAAGAGAAGGAAATTTTTCCCTATAAATCGGCTACAAGTACTTAACCGATTTATGTAGATTATTATGTAGATTTATGTAGATTAAATACGAACAGTTTGCCCGATTAAATTTTTCGATTCTTTTAATGCTATCAAAAAACTTATTCTAACTTAACATTCGCTTAAAAACAGCTGCTGTCACATCGTGAAAAATAAGAATCACGAGTACATTTGTACGTTAATTTGTGATTTTATTATTAGTATAAATGATATAAAGCTGAATACAATTAAGAAAAATCATGTTGAATGCACAGGTGGGCGCGATTGTAGGAACAAATACGTTTCCTCTACTTTCCACGAAATTATTCTGTAGAAAGATCAACTGAACATTGGCAATATTTGTGCAATTTGATGCACAATTTCGCGGCTTGTCACGGCTGAAAAATACGCTCCTTCATTGACATATATAAATATACAGCGTTCGATTAAATATCATTCAGTCGGAAAGTAGAAATAATATTCAATCGAATGTTTAATCGAGCGTTTTTTTCGGCGTTTACTAAGAGGTGAAACTGTCCATCTAATTGACAGTCATACATCTATCATATTTAGCTTTCCCACAGTCTCACATTATTATTGTGCTTAAAAGAACAAATACTGGTAACACAATCGCTTTTTTTAATGTTTCTCTATTGGACGAAATGAACAAGCATAAACGTAAACAGTTATCACAAATTAAGAAATTAATAATTAAAACACTCGAAGCATCACTACTTCAATTCACAATTTGATGGGAGCACAAACAGATTAATAATGATGGTAACCGTGAACTTGTAATGTAGCATACAACATGGAGAGGAAGAAGTTTGTTGAATACAAACGTACAATAATATCCGTCTTATCTTTACTCGTTAATTATTCTATGGCTGTGGGTTTAACAGAATATAATAGCATAGTTCCTCTTTTTCTTATTTCATTATAATGAATAGAGATTGATAAATGCAAAAAAAAAACGTATTTCATTCACATCACGAAACCCATTTGTTAAGTTTGATTTGAACTCTTGTCGGTCCAAATATATTATACAATATCTTCTCATATATGTATACATATATAATATATATATATATATATATAAAATTCTATTACATAAATGTAAGGAAAGTTATATAAATGTTCAACTGCAATATTCAACTCGGAGAGAAAAAGAATAAAAATAGAAAGTATGAAGATTACTGCTACTTTTATTCTTCTCTTCGAAGTGAATATTAAACAAATGATCTCTTGTATTATATCTCATATATCTCTGATATTGTACTCTAAATTAATTTCTTTGTGTTAATGGCATAATCTTTTTTATTTTCACCATTTCTAAACGGTGCTTATGGAATAAAGCCGCATTATCATACAAGCTTTTAAAATCTTTTGATATTCTTAAATTTATGATAAATTTATGTTCACATAATGTGGCAACGTTCTTCACCTTGGGGATCGCTCTGAAACATAAAATATATGTATATCTTATTAGCAAAAAGAAATGAAAGAAACATAAAATAATTGAGTAATCACCGCGGACCCCAATTTGTTTAAATCCACTGTGTGAATATCGACATCCGTTTAGTCACAGATATAAGCAAATAATGAATCTTATTGTTATATTTCATACAATGAAAAACATATGGATATGCAGACGATATATGTGATATATCTCTCGGAAACATTACTTTTTCTTTACATCTTTTACATACAATGATCTGATCTATATTATTATATTAATATGTGCAGTAATGTAGTATACATATAAATGTGCTAAATCAGATTTATGTTATTTGTAAATGTTTTTACCATTCGCATTCTAAGTAAAGCATATACACAACTTCAAAAATGACTTTTTTTTAGCATTAACCTGATTTCATATATATAATATTATATTAATGACACCATGAAACTCGGAAGCAATTGATATATTATTAATATAACGTCAAAAAATGAAAATTTCGATTATCCATCGAAATACAATATAAAAATGGCAAGTTTTGTAAATTTATCTATTGATCGCAATATTCGCAAATGCAACTTTGCTCCATAAAAGCAAAGCCGCATTTACGTAAATTCGGCTAAATTCACTCTAAAGATTTTGCATTTGTATATATAATATATGTTCAGGATATTCAAACATTAATAACATATAAAATACAATCAAAATTCCTTTAAATTATTATCCATAGTAGATTGAATCCCGTGTAAGAAAGAAAGCTTTAAGTATTGTGTACGTAGATAACATTTGATAAAATGTATATTTGATAATAATATCTTAATTAAAGACAATGTGGTTAATTAATGGGATGGTCATAGTTTTATATATAACGAAGATTATATATACATATTAATTCTCATAAGGCATGAAATTTTAGTTAAGCGGTGAGCATCCAGGCAAAATGTTGCATGAAAACCAACAAAATATGAAGCAAAATAATTCCTATATATTATGAGTGCGGAAAGTATTATCGATAACGTAATATTCGAACATCTGATAGGTTATAAAACAACTTACATAAAGTGCCCATCAGAGTCGTGTGCCCTCACCCTTAATACGGGTAGAGATATCTTCTCTATGAAACAAGAAGTGAATTGTGAAAATATTACACCCCAAAAAATTAGTTATCTATAACTGCAACACTTATTCTGTATATGTCAAATCTCCAGAAACAAATGGAAAGTAAATAATATTTGATTGTCTACAATTACGTAAATATTAAATTAACTCTCATAATGCCTTAAAAACTTGAAATAAACATTATAGCCACATTGTCTTCTTCGACGTTTAAAAATCAGAAAGCATAACTTTTCCAAGATTTATTATGTTACTGATTAACATACCTTTAGTTTTCCAAAGTATAAAAGTTTTTTTTATAATAATTGTACTAATAATACTATTATAATTTGTTAGACATGATTTCGTGTGTCGATAATATATCAAAATAATGCTGCAGTTAAAATATAACGCTAATGTACATCAGCGTTATATTATTATTACATCCCACTTTTTTGACGTTTTTCTCTCTTAATAATTATATTTGTATCTTAATCCCGAAAAGTAGTTTAAAGCTTTCGTTTCACTACACATTCGATACGATGTATAATGCAATAATGAAGTTTATTGCATCCTTACCTGTTGGTGATGGAGTTCTTCTGATGGTCGGAATCCTAAGCTTTCTCTGTGTCGAGACAAAGCTGAGGACAATTGTTGCCTCTTGCGCTCAGAAGTTGCCATTTCCTATTAGAAAATTTACTTAATCTCGCACCTTATCGTATATAAAATATAATATAAAATTAATCCTTAGATGCACATATAATATAACTGTCGGAAATATCTAAATGTAACTATCTCATTCAATGAGTCTTATGTTATTTTACAAAATTTATTTAAAATATTTATATTGATAAAAGGAAATGTACATCTAAAAATTAAATATATAATAAATAACACACGTACCTCTCCTTCAATATTTATCAATGTAGTAGTCATGTTATCTGCTACAAACCACTTCTGACCCTTCATAACGATGTTAGAAGGTGGCTCGTGCGTTGCACCAATATCAGCCGACCATACCATCACGTTAGCACCTCCATCGAGCTTTACGCTACGATGAAACTTGAAAGTGGTTTCCAAAGTACCGGCTTTGCGAATAATTTGCCACCCGCCTAAGCTTATTTCCTATTATAAAGATTATATTTAATAAGAAGTTGGAATTAATTTAAACGAAGCTAAAACGCACATCTCTATAAGTTCTATTTATTTACCTTATTTCCCTTATTAGTAAGTTTTACGAATCGTCCTTGGGGATCCGCTTCAGTAATTTCTATGTCACCTCTAGCAGTACCTGTAACACTATATTCACTACTGCTGCGTTCTTCGCTCTCTTCCAACAAAGTGCGTTTTCGTTTGCCTCTGAGAGGAGTATGTCTGGACGGAGTTGCTCTAGACAAAGACGTATTCGTCGACTGCATAGGTGTAATGTTTAATCTAAAATTGAGATAAATTCGCATAAATTAATTATATCAATAACATCAATAAGGAGTTAACATTCATAATTGTTCGTGTGTTAGTTTATCAAAATGTCAATTTGACAAACTATTTCTCACTATTCCCTTTCTTTCCGTAATATCCAACAAATTCAACTTTTTTTTTAAGTAGAACTATTCGCATAGCCTATTCATTTTTGAGAAATTTATCAATGTAATAAATAAAATTTTATTGAAACAAGAGCATAAGTATTTGTTTCATTAATGATGTTATTGAATTAATAAAATTATATTCAATTAAGATAATACTGTCGATATAACATGACTTTTTTTCAGTATAATAATTGTTTTACACCATGAAGTCTTGAAGTTTTCGTTCTATATATTCTAGTAAATTTGCATCAATTATGTTAATTAATGTGCAAACTGTAAAATATTTAGTTACATTATGAACGATTTAAATCTTAATTCAATTTGATATATTTAAAAATTTCATTTCTCTTTAAATTTGAAGATGACCTAAAACGTAAAATCGAAACATCGGTATTTTTAAGTTGACATTTCAATAAACTAACTCATACACAAAAAACTAAAGTTGGTTCAATATAATTGATTTTATTCATGTTGAACTTGAGATTGATTTTTAATTGTTTCGCATAAGTTAACTCTAGTAATATCGTCCATTAAAATTTGCAGAAATTATGATTTTGACTCACCTTGCCTCTTCAGTTTCGAGCAGCTTGCGATACGCAGCAATTTCCAAATCAAGCGCTACTTTAATATCCATAAGATCATGATATTCTTGTAATTGTTGAGCCATTTCATCTCGCATACGTGACAATTCTGCTTCCAGTGCAGCTAAACTGTCTGCATAACGAGAACGTTCGTTTTCTCTTGAATTCTCCATGTCCCTATCGAAAACGATTTTATATTATTTATACATTTATACATTTTATATTATACTTATACGCAAATAATATTATTTATGCAAAAAAATATCAGAAAATGTTTTCTACTAATTTTTATATACATATATTGCCTTTTTATTTCAAAGTGAAACTCATAGTGTGGGAGTTGTGGACTTAAAGAAATTATTTTCACTTAAATCTCTTTTTTTATACTCAAAAAATTTTGTAGATTACCTAATGCGTGCACTAAGGGCATTGTTAGCTGCTTCGAGTTCGCTGATTCTTGAATTGAGTCCTTCGTTTCGAGAGCGAGTCTGTCTCAATTCCTCGGTTGCCATGTTAGCGACTCCGCTATTACGTTGAGCATGAGATGCCAAATTCTTGATTTTATTTTCATATAAAAGCTCAATCTCTTCTCGATTAGCACGCATTTGCGCCTCATGCTGTTCGCGTAATTCTTGCAAGGATTGCTGTAGTTTAGCTTCATATTGCTCCGCAAGACGACCGTCAATCTCCGATATTTCAACCTAAAACGCAATTATAATATAAATTATTTCGAAGAAATAATTTATATTAACTAACTAGGAATCAACGAAAAATTATATTAAAATTGGGAGCTATTATGCCGACTGAAAATTTGATTTATCTTTCATCTATTTTTTTTCCAATCAGATTTAAGATTATATCGTTAAAATAATATTCATTAAATTTTTAGAAATGACAATAAATGATTTATTTATCATAAAACACATAGATGCAAATATAAATTTTTATATAAACAAAAATTATTGATAAATATGTTATGTAACTACAATAAAATTGAATTGTCTTCAGTAAAATTTTCAAATCTATTTTTTTCATTGCTTGTCAATGTTAATAAAAAAATTTTTCTTAAAACTAACGACATATTTACGATAAAGCAACAGGGCTTGAAAGATCATATTGTTTCAAGTAATTACTTACTTGTCGTCTCGTACGAGTCTCTGTAAGTTCTTGCTGATAAACTTGATCCTTGAAACTGATGTCTTCTTTGAGACTCTGGATATTGTTTTCGAGATCGATTCGCTGAAGAGTTTCTTCCTCCAGGTGCTTACGAGCATCGTCTAGCAATGTTTTCAATCGATCTATTTCCTTTTCCGAATCTCGATCCTTCTCGGCTAACTTCTTGCGCTCTGCCTGTGACTGATTGAACTGCGACTGTAAGTCGCCGCAGCGCGTCTCAAATATCATTACATTTCGTTCTGCTATTTGTAGATCTTTTGTTTTCTTGTCCAATCTGAAGCAAATGATAAATATCAATTATATAGTATTTATTTCTATTAGCATTATGATATCTTTCATCTTTAAATTTCTGCTATATTTCTACTATATTTCTTTAACAATCAATTGTAACTTTTGGCAGCTATTGCTTGTCAAGATTGTCTTCACATCTTTACATGAACGAAGGAATGTAACGTGTACGTTCGATTGTATAACAATACAAAGAAAATATAATATGAGCACTTTATTAACTCTCTTAAATAATGGCTTGTTTGTTGATTAAGTAAATAGATACAATGTTAATCAAATTGGACAAATTACTAACAGAAATTACTACAGAAAATAAAATGTTTCTGATTCAGACAGTTTTAATCTCGAAACGCAAAAACAAATTTTTTTGAGAATTTATGTATAAGATCGAATTTTTTATTAACGGGATTTCTGCGAAGGTTCTTTGAACATAAAATTCTCAGATTATCGTCTTGCCATCCTTGGCCTACTATCTTAAAACAGGCAACATCGAATGATGCTATATCTATTCTCGTGAAATAACATCTTTTCCCGCTATGGTATCTTCAGAAAGTATCATAGATAGTTTCACCATAAATCCTTGCTTTACCTTAAGTTAAAAAACAGTTTGGTTAAAAACGATGAATAACAGAAAGACGAATAACAGTTAAAAGATACATTATAAACTGGATTTAATTTCTATTAAATTTAATTTCTCGCGGAATCTGTACTTTCGTTCCGCGAATTCCTATATTCTATAGATAGTTTGTAGACGATGTGCTAATTTTGTAAGATATAACGTGCAAGTTCATTACGGTGTAATCGGTATTATAATTAAAATTCGTTTTCATTTACAACATACCGCCGTGCCGGTTCACAAGAAGGAAGCCGCGCACCGGGTAGGAGAGAGAGCTTCTATTTCAAGCGATGCACGACCCACATTGAGAATTTTATTTTCTGCCATGGTGGCCCGGACGTGTCTTTAATATTCGTCCGTTTCGCCTCTGTCCCTCACCCGATTTTCAAGACAAGAAAACAACGTGCGCTCCGGAAAGCTGCATATACGCTTACTCGCGAGAAGTGCGTCGGCTGTTAATTAACTTATGGCGACCTTAAGCTAATGATCGTTAATGATTCTCCAACGATATCCAGCTGGAAATGTGTGAACCTTCAGTAAAATAAGATTTGCTGCAGACTGCGATCATTTGTTATGACGGTTTGTAATTAAATATTGAAACAGACATATCTTTCGTAACATAATTATATATTTCCAGAGTTGGGTAAGTTAATGTTTTTTTTTAACTGAATAAAGTTAATGGCTTTACAAAATTAATAAAGTTAAGTTAAAAGTTGAAGGAATAAAAAATTAACTTGACGTAAGTTAAGTCAATATTGAATTAACTTAAGTTAAAAAAAAAGTTAATTTTGAACAAAATTATTTTTTAGATCAAAATGTCCTAATTTTTCTTAAAATGAGATTAAATAACTACAATATAGATTGTTAAGTAAATTAAATTTTTCTAGGATATTTAAAGATATTTTCTAAGATATTTAAAAGAGATAAAAAAATTTTTTAACTTAAAAAAAAGTTAAAAAATTAACGTTTAAAAGTAACTTACTTAAGTTAAAAGTTAAAGCATTTAAAATTAACTAAGTTAAGTTAAAAGTTATTAACTTTTTAACTTTTTTTTTTTAACTTTTAACGTTTTAACTAGTTACTACCCAACCCTGTATATTTCATACAATTACTAATAACTTAATTATACATATCTTCGTAGTAAATATGTAATAATTAGTCGGTGATAAACCATTTGAAAGAAATAGGAAAATGCGTTCAAGATTCGTCTTCGTGAACTATACATCGCAAAAATGCAATAGAAAGAAAATAATAAATTTTAAAGTCACATTTTTGTCATATTGCTAAATCTTTTGTTTTTCTTGTACGATCAACGCCGTGCGTTATCAGCTGGCCCAAGACAAAGTTGGATACCATTGCTCTAAACAATTGTCAAGGAAGGGAGTCTCGAGGTTTATACGGTTCTTAGCAGGAGGGTGATGGTCGTCGCCCTCTAATTCTCTCGCGGACTAATCGGTACAAAATGCGAGACGGCGAAACGCTTCAGAAGACTTGTAACGTAATGTGCATTCAGTTATGTACGCGACAATGTCACGGGTCAAGTTTAACCGCGGATCGCTGGAATTTTGTAATTTTGCATAAATACTCGCGCAATAATTAATTAAGACATTGAAAGCGTTCAGTCTTCAATTTTATATGTATATAATATATACATTATATGAACAATATAAAAATATACATATATAATATGTTATACATAAAATTTTCATTCATATTTTTATTATATATACGTACTTATCCAATAAATATATAAATGTTTTTCAAGTTTTGTGTATATGTAGTTAAGAAATTAACAACGCAATTCTGAAATAAAATTAAAAAGACATCGTTAGATGTCTTCGATTTATAAGTAATTCTAATTTTATACGATTCTGAATTTATGCTGATCTCTCCTTCGGCTTTCCAAAAGTACAGATCCTATAGAGCTTTACTCAGAACGGGAAGGGCTGTGCCAGTCTTGTTGCACACGACACGTATAGTATATGCTCTTGAACTTATAAATCGTGGCCCTCGCATTTCGACTCCGAAAATGGCGAGGTTTTACACACGCCTGCTCGCGTGCAACATCGGCCTCACGCGACGCCTGACATCGCTAAAATGGCTGACATCGGGCGGGTGATGTCATCCACGATTTCACGTGGCATTGGCTTTTACAGATAATAATCGCGGCCAAGAATTTTGCATTTGCTCAAAAACGTGCGTCCTCCAGGAATTCTTTCCGCGGCTTATCCATGACGCCTGGAATTCGAGATTATTGGCATTGTTGGCCTCGAAGTACAGATACGATCGTCTCGCGCTTTCACACAAGGAATACGGGAATGTGTTACTTCATCGATTATTTGAATCACGAATTTGAACGGCGACGTTACACTTTTAGCGAATAAAAAAAAACTGAACGATATTTTTCTCAGGAAAATTCGGGATCTTCATCAGTGTCGAGAATGCAAAAGTACGAAGTTTAAGAAAGAAGTTTTAAATAACAGTTTAAGGAAACTGATAATACTTCATTTTTTTGACAAATTTACAATTATTTTTTTCTATCAAAAATGTTCTTCCATTTTTTTTACATTTAACATTTATTATTTTTAAAAGTTCAAGATGTAAAGAAAAATTCAAATTGCTTCAAAAATTTCTTATGAGGAAATCCGATATCTTGAAGGCAATTATCATTAAATTATTATTAAATATTCTTAAATATTAATATTAATATTCTTATAAACATTAATATTCTTAAGTATTCATTAAATATTCTTAAATGATCAAGTTTTCTATTAGAAGACGCTTACGTCATATGCTTTTTTACTCATTCAAGGACCACTGAATTTGCGGACGCTACAGCACCGCAGAAAAAGAGAAAGATAGATAGACTATAGATAGATAGATAGATAGATAGAGAGAGAGAGAGAGAGAGAGAGAGAGAGAAAGAGAGACATTAAATGCCGTCTGTGTATAATGAAACATCGTATTCCCAGCAATTTTGGTCGATGACACAATTCCTTTCACAAAGATTCCAGAAGCAACGAAGGCAAAAGAATCGCGATATAGTCGATATATAATGTGAATAACAACAAAAATAAGCGACAGTAAAGTCATGATGCTATCTTATTGAAAGACTGTAGCATTATCATTGAAAACACCACGATCTTTAACACGGAAATGAGCTTTATGACCGTGACTATCTCTCAGGGGCTCTCAACCTGACTTCACAAATAATTCATTTTAATCGATGTACAATTAATGTACACTGGGAGAGACATAAACGTCTTAATATGTGAAGTTTCACTCATATCGAGTTAGATACGGGCCGCATGCTTCCTGTCTAGATCGCGTCATGCGCGACTGTTGATCCGAGAAATATTATTTCTAAGTAGCTGGAGATGATATTTAATTTGACACATCGATAATTGAATAATAATAATATTAATATTAATATCACAAGTTTCCCAAATAATTTAAGTTTTAAATAACGAGTTAATACTTAAATATGTTAATATTTAAATAGAAAGTACTCGTTTCGAATATGTCCCTATATGTGGGCAACCTCATAATGCATATCAAGATATTTATCATCAAGTATACAAATAAAACCATCTATCGATCTTTATGTAATAATAATAACATTGTTTAATAATATTTGTTTTGGGAAGGAAATATTGAAAATGCAAGGTGGACAAAGTTTGAGATTACTAAGCCCTTTTCCCCCACCAATCCTACTCTACTCACGTAAGTTGGGCATGGCAGATGCTTTATAGGGAATGGTGTGTGTTGCAATCGTAACGGTATAAACCGGAGTAAGTCGGGAAATATCAACGGAACAAGTTCGTAATCTATAGTAACTATAGAAAATATGGCGCGTGCGACGATAATTATCAGAACGCGGAATTATCGCTCTAGGCGTACATACATGCAATAATTGCGTGTAACATGAATTTGAACACGAATAACGAAAAGCGTTAAATTACCGAATCTCCTTTCTTTTTCGTCCGATTTTATTAAAATCTCACGAACGGCTGAGAAAATTACTTTAGTAAATTACTGTTTTCTTATGAATTTACTTTACAAAAGACAGAATAAATCGTTCATTGCGTTTCCCATTCATTCCTTACACACCTCGTTACCGTCCTCTTACAATTTCCAGTGAACAAACGTAAAAAATCGAACGACCCTGTTCCTAATGATCAGTATATACTCATAAAGTGAGAGATCTGATAATTGCGGTGGAGGAGGAGGAGGAGGAGAGTGCAAGTTCATCGCGGAAAAATTTCACTCTCGCGCGGGTCAAAGGATCGATCGTTTTTATTCCGTCAACGACGGAATAAAACGCGAAGTATAATCCTTGTTATAGTCGCGGTCGTACGTGACGGCGGGATCAGAGTCAATGTTTTCAGGTCAGGTGATAACGCACTGACACTGACATCACCGCCGCATAGTAAGCGTGACGCAATCGCTCGTAGTAACGTCACGTTGTGGAGAGCTCGTTCATGTTTTTCTCCGAGGCCGGATACATGAACGGCGCGAAAATTATTTCCTCTTTACGTAAACGTTAAGCTTTCCCTCGTCTTTTCCAGCGCATTCTTTTCTTCTCACACTACCTCCTCTCTCTCTCCCTCCCTCTCTCTCTCTCTTTCTCCCCATTCCTCCACAATTTTTCGTATCTTCTGATTCTGCTTCCCCTCGCCACAAGTCCGGCGGATAACCAATTTTGTTGCATCGTTCTGGAGAATCTTAACTCTGTTGACAAACACGCTCGACGAAAATGCACATGACGCATCAATGAGCAACTGCTCGTTAATCTAATCCGAAGATCGGCGACAGACATCGACAGATATCGATTCTTTTATTCTCTCTTTGGATTAAATGAAATTTATACTATATCGCGACCGTCGTATAATCTGTATTACTACCTGGCACGAAAATAAGGTGAATGATAACGCCGCGGCACAAACGTATCGATCAGGACTAGTTGAGAACGTTCAGCACACTTTGTAATACGTTGCTAGATTCGAAATTTTCGTTTACTTAATTTTACTTTTATTCACTCCTCGAATATAACTTGTACGCGCAAAATATAGAATATAATATTACATGAAACACTCTGTAAATACGGAATCTCTATAGATAGATTATGTTTTCGTAAAAATTATTTCAGAGATATTACATATCAACATTGAGCAACATTACAAATAATCGTATTGTCTGTGATGATATCAAATAGACATATGTCACATGTTTTATAGAGTATATGCAATTTCCAAGTAATGCTTATCTGATAATTCTCCAGGAATTATCAAGTCAAGGAATATGAAAGAATGACTATAATATTCATGATCATAATTCAAAGTAGATTGAAATACAAATACAAATAAGCAAATTATACCCTAGCCTTGCGAATATATAATTATATAAAATAGAACGTTTTCTCTACCTTCATAATGAATATTAAAATAATATTATAATGCTAGATTAATTTATGATTCTTCTATTAAGGGAATTATGCATATCTTAAATTAAAATACACAAGCCTCAATAAATATAACCAGTTTTGAGAATTCTTGCATCATCGGTACTTGGAAAGTAACATAAATTTTTACTAAATGAGTCATTATATACTCATTTCATGATATACCGAGTGTATATATTCCATTTTTGTAATACAAAATTAGTCAAGATACGAAATTAAAAAAAATTCTCTGTTTTTTTGCCTTGAAACTCGTGAATCATAAAAAGATATCAGTCCAATTTAAAAATACCGTCGAAAATAAGAGACTCTAATAATACACAACATAATTATCGTCGGAGCCACGCAATCTTCTTATTGAAAATTTTCCTTTATACATGCGTGATCGAATAGAAAATACAAGGTACGGTTCGAAGAGGGAAGGGACGTTCAATTTGCAGGATTCAAAAATAGGGAAGGGTCGCAACTAGGTGTTTAAAATGCGGAGTTGTATTAAAGTTAGACACGCGTGGATGCGCGATTGCGCACATGTTAATTTTTATTCTGCGCATGTGTCAGAATAAGAAGTGCTAATGATGATCGAGACTATTGAAAGAAAAATTGAGTATAGCTCAGTACCGATGATTCATGAATTAAAGAGTTTCACATTGTGCGGCTGTACTCCACAACCAAGCTCGTATTTCTCCAAGTCTCGAGCTCCATTGTATTCAAATCCGAGTTTCACTACTTTGCCGACTGCAGTGCCCAATTGCGTGCATCCATCCAATGATTGACAAATAAAATTCTAATTTGTCTTTTTACATGATTTTTTTTTTCCACAGCATCGTCAGGAAACAAGATACTCGGATGCTCGATCACGTTGATCGATATTTATCAATAACGATTAGTGCCATTTAACTTTCCTATCTATTTTGCAAGTAAGAAGGCAACACGGTTAGATACGCAAAAAAACTTATCATTTTATCATTTTACTCGGAGTATAAAATATATATAAATATATATAAATATATACAAATACGTAAATTGAACTTACTTGCTCTTGAAATCCTCGTTATCATCCCAGAGACGTTTGGTGTCGATCTCCAGCTTGGCGCGTTCCCTGGCAGTCTCATCGAGCAGCTTTCGCGCGTCGGATAGCTCGTGTTCGTACATAGCCTTGATACTGGAGACCTCCCGGGTGACGGTCTCCTGAGTAGTCTGCATCTCCCGGGTCAGCCGGGAATTCTCGGTCTCCAAGTGACGCACCTTTTCGATGTAACATGCCAGACGATCGTTGAGATTCTGTAGATCCTGCTTCTCCTGCAGCCGGGAGTATCGGGTTGGGCTAAGCGGGCTGCCGGGTCGCCGGCCGATCGGCGTCGATGTAGTCGGTGGCGGCGACTGGATGCTGGAGGACGACGAAGCGACGGAGGCGGAAGAAGCGGAAGCGGCGGCTGCGGCTGCCGCCGCGGTCTTCTTGCTTGATTTCGTTGACATTGTTGTTGCGGAAAATACGCGACTAGCCTGCACGCGAATTCTCGCGCTTGCGGTCTCGTACGAGGCACTCTACGTCGTTCTCGATTAGACACCCTCGACGACACTGAGGGGGAATGAGACAGAGAGAGAGAGAAAGAGGGAACACCGGCGCGTCCGTGTCTAGCGTATCATCAACTCGTTGCTGATAACGTCTAACGTCAGCGCGTCCGTGTCGATCGAGCGAACGCGTGTAGTACCTTCGTGATCGTCCGATCAACGTCTCGCGATCTCGCACACTTCGCAGTCAAATGCGCACTACCGGATCAAGCAGCGCCAGCCAACGGTCGGATTAGTGCGCTTGCTTGCGACGACGCCACATCACAAGCCGGGTTTCGCGCCGCCATTAACCGGAAAGAAGCGCTGCGTGCGATGATTGGCTGTGGCGTTGCAGGGACGCCACGCGCTCGACCTATCGCCTCTCACGAACCGGCCGACCGTGTTTAATGTCGCGCAATACGATTGGCCGCGTCCAATATCGATAGTACTAGAATGACTGTAGAATGAACGATGCCACCAATCGCAATGAACGCTCGAGGAGACGTTAAATTTGAATGCGATCGTTGAATCGTGATTAATGGGGTTTCCGGCACGTATTAAATTTTTTTATTTTAATGCATGTTTAATATATGTTTAATCAGCCTTTGTGCTCTCCGTACTTTGGATAAGACGTAGGATTCAGGAGTTTTATTCTCGAAAAATGTTGCATATAAAGATACTAAGGAAGTCTTAATATGTGTAACAAATACTACTTATAGTATTTTTGTGCGTACACACATTTTCGTGTGAAATATTTGTCGAGAATACAGTCCTTGTTTTTGAAAGATGAAAGAGCGAAAAAGTTAATAATAAATTTATAATTTTATAGCTATTAGTATTTTAAAACAATATTTCGCGGTATATATTCTCAGTATTTCTTAAGAAATTATTTTTAGAATTTATATATGTAATAATAAACTAGTAAATGTGATAAGAATTGTCTCAATTTTTGTTACATTAAGATTAAATTATTAAAGATTTAGTTTCGGTTTTAATGTCCGTCTGGATTATAATTAATATCAGAGTTTTTTCCTTTTTTTTTCCTTTTCTTTGCGATTAACGTTTTAAGTATATTGAAAGTTATTCATTAATTTCAACATAATTGACACTGATTCGCTGAATGTCAAAGACTGATTTTTGACTAAACCGATAGAATTTAAGTTTTTGCGATATGGTGAATTTTTGTTTTAGTGAACTACCTTTTATTATTTTACAATTGTTTTTGCTTCCCCCCTCCCCCTCCAATAAATTTATCTTTTAATAATTTTTAATATATTTTAGATTTTTTTATTAGAGTATAGTTAATAGGTGGAGGTGGCTCACTGAAATGAATTAGTTTGAAAAAAAATTTGTCGTTATTACATCATATTGTCTCTGAGGACGACTCAAAAATGAGCCGAAACATGACTTCTATTGTCTTGTCATATCCAATCATTTTACAAGAATTGTTTCACTCAAAAGATATTTTTGCATAGAATATCTTTCAATAATTCCATATTTTCGTAAACTATTATATTAATGAAATTAAATTTATTAAAAACAATATTGTGTTTCCTTAATTAATTTAATTTTCAGAACAATGATGATAACAATAAATGATAAAAATTGTTTTACATAAAAATATTTCTATATAAAGTATTTCTCTTTCAGAAATTTTTAATTCTCATAGAGTGTTATACTAGCGAAACTAATTTCTTCAATTATTTTCATAATGAAGAATTTATTCCAAGAATACAGTCTTTTGATAATTTAAAGTTGGATGTTGGATGGTTTTAAAACAATAAACAGCGTTTTATAAATAAATATTGCATTATGATATATTTTAACAACCAGTGGTAACAAAGGTAGGTGTCTCTTTTACGTATTTATAGCAACAGAACAGCACTCTCGTATGATACAAGCTTCGACTTATTTAACTGTTCAATATATATATTTATAATATTTATATATACATATGTATACATCCTTTGAACCGCGAAAAAGAGTGTTCGTGTAACGTAATAATATAGTCATAGAAAAAAATTTGTTCTGGAGGCAACCGATGTAACTTATAAAGCTTATGACTTTAAATAACTTTCAGGATTCTGAATAAGATATATGTATATATACATGTATATGTATGTATACGTATGTATGATATATGTAAACATATGTATATAACATACATATTATATATATATAAATGTATAATATATGTATAAATGTATAGATCTCTCCTTGTTTTTAAAGAATATGATTCTCTAGCGACATGTGATATATTAAATATATAGATATAATCTGTTACATCAGCATTTTCGCGTTTTAGATATCTATATATATAATAACTATTATGTACATGTTATAAATTCGATAATATCTCACGCATAGCTTCTCTCCGCTACACACCGTACTTTATTTGGTTTAACAGAGGAGTGTCGCTTCAGTCATCTTTGGTAGAAGCATGCTTTTTTTCGTACAACGCTATCTCATACAAGATAACACAAAATGTTACTCAATTAACGCGTCTGTTCCCTGAGTTGATATACAACCACATTTCAGTCTTTACCATTTTGTTACTTCATCTCTCACAGCAATTATTACACATCAATTAAAACAATTATCTCACTAGTATAAGCACAGCAATCTAACAAAATCAAAAGATCAAGGCCGGAAATGTGTTGCCTTTCTTATAAATCCCCTTTTCATGACACAAAACTGCCTAAAAAAATATCTTCCCCTAACACATCCTTTATATTTTAAATTTTGATAGAATGCAGTACAAAAACAACAAAGGGGATAAATACGAAATAATTTGTTGAAACTAATTCCTTCACTTATATAAGTCGATAATTAGTCAACTCTCGAATTATGAGGAATTATTTCAATCACGAATTAACGATAACACATTGGATCACAAAACTTTAATCTGTCTTAATTAAATCTAATTCATTTTCTCGCGCTCCGAATGCTTTATCGCAACTCATTCATTTCCATCATTCTCAAAATTGTCACATATGTCAAATACTACACAAATACATCAAAGTGTGACGAGGCTTCTATACGAAAAAAATTAAATACTGAATAGAAATTCTTTTCGATTTTACTTATTATCTATCAACATCGTCAATCAACATCGTCATTAATTTTTATAGTCATCTGTAAAAATTAATAGAATATAATGTATATAATTATATAAACAAAATTTTCTTTAATCGTATAAATATGTGTCATTATTCTCAATAACACTATTCGTAAAAGAGTGCTTAATTTATATTTTCTTTTTTAACAAATAGTATTTTTTAAATATGTTTTTTTTTCCTTTTTCTTGATTGAGGTACCACTGGTAATAGCAGTTGCTTTTGTTATCTTCGCGTAATCGCGTGTCATTTCTATTACATTAATATCTTTAATGTACTCATAATGAAATGAGCTTTTGAGGCACATTCACCACATATACACTCGTTATAAGCAATCGCTAAAATTTTCTTCGTATTGGCTAGTTAATCACTAATCATCATCTTTATGATTATCGATTGCAGAAGTGAATTTTTGGAAGAAAATTTTAACGGGAGTGTGTAATAAGTTATAATAACTTACAACGTTTGTCGTCCTCGCACTATAATCACAGACAATCCCAGTTTAACGCAACAAAACGATTCACCATCTTATTTGCATCCGCCTACTTTACATTTCTCTGTTTTTCTCTGATAGAAGTAATAAAAATAAAATTCTGTACACTGCATAATAAATTCTGTATATTGCGCAAATCTTCGCGGAGAAACGTTGATACTTTGTTGAGACCCTGACCATAGTGATATATCGTTTTATACACGTCCATTTCTGGTATCTATCCAATATATTTAAATTAGCATCGTAAGAATGCACTTTTCAATTTTATATAATTATTTAGAAAATGGACCAAGATTTTTTTTAAGAAGATGGGATGGCATAATTATGTTATAACTATTTATATATTTATATACGATATTCTAAAACTCTGATGAGATAGGAATGATGCGATGTTCGCGTCCTGTACGAACGCAGAAGGCAGCGGTGTTATAAAGATATACCGTGTAAAATGCATAGGAAACAAAGTGTGAATTCATTGGAGCGTTACTGGACCAAGCATAAGTAGGAAAAACTCTCTACTCGACTATAATCGTGGCAAGGCGTTTCGGCCGCTTGCCAGCTTTATGTCTCCTATGGACATTCCCTTCGTCATGCGCAACTTGCGAGGACGACTCGAACGACTCCGCGGAATTGTCAGAACCTATATCTCTGTCCGAATTTATTATTTGTTCGAGTTTACGTTTCCGCGATCGTGTCATTGGACCGTTACTACTGCTGCCACTAGTTTCGCTGTCAACGTCGCGTCGATGTCGATGCTTTTTCGTCGGGATTATCGGTTGACACGATTCGTCGGCATTGCGTTTGGTCCGCTTTTTCGCGGTTCTCTCGAATTCTTGCAGGAGTGAAAGTCTTACTGAGGAATTCGAATCGGAAGAAGAAGATAGGGAACTCAGGTACTCGTTAACAACTTCGTCATTAAAATCGAAGACGCTTGGTGACGAGGTGGAAGTGTTTGCAGCACTTGCTGTAGCGCTTGGTAGACGCAACTGAACCGACGACGGACTCGAGGAGGAAGAAGAAGACGGTCTCGATGTGGAGGAACTGGAATTGGAACGTTTGTGCTTGCGACGCTGAGCCAGTTTGGCGGCATCGACCGCGCGCAGCTGGAAACCCTCGCGCTCGTGCGTTGACGTTGAACTAACGGCTACCGCATTGTCCGCGTGAACCGTATCAGTAGCTGATGTTACCGGAAGAATCGTTGCGTCATGCGTCGTCAACCACGAATGGTACACCAGAGAAGCTGCGGTGAGTCTATTGTTGGGATCGATCATCAACAAACCTTTCATCACTTGTTTCGCACCGGGAGACACATGACTCCAAGCCTCGCTGTCAAAATTAATCTCACCGGCTTTGATGCGCATCGCTACGTTAGGTGTATCTGTACGGGAAGGTGGATTGTCGGACAACATGAAATACAGAATAGTCCCCAGGGACCACATGTCGCAGCTCTCGTCGTATTCTTGATTGGCCACAACCTCCGGGGCAGCATACGGGAGCGTAAAGCAGGGCGTGTGTAACGGCTCGCAGCTGTTCTTCATCCGAGCAAATCCAAAGTCGACTATCTTTACAGGCGAATCTTCGCCTTGATGCACATATACGATATTCTCTGGTTTGAGATCACGATGCACTACGCCACGCGAGTGCATGTATCGCACTGCGGATGCCAATTGCCGCATCACTCGCTTGGCCTGCCGCTCCGAGAATGGGCGCGGTCGTTGTAACAATTCCCCGCCCGAGAGCAATTCCATCACGATGTATGTGTGAAGTCGATCGTGGTGGACTTCTGTCAATTTCACTACGTTTGCGTGACGCTGACACGCACGCAACAGATTCTCCTCCCGACTGCAATCCACTCGCCTGCTGACGATCTTCACGGCGGATTCCTAGAGCTGGTCCCGCTTGGTCTAACTCGTACGCCTGGAAGAACGTGGACTCTTCGAAACACGTGTTCAACAGATCGGACAACAAAGGCCGTTGCGAACTGGCTTCGCCACCGAAGATATCCCTGCTCACCACGTTGTCGGTGAATAGTATCGAAGGTGCTACATAGGAATAACCCTGTAAAAATATCCAAGTGAGAAATTTTGTAAATGTTTCATAAAATCCGTGACTGTTACGGCTACCTATTTGTTCGGAATAATAACGAAAACAATTAAGAGAAAACTTACCCTAAAATGTTTGTCAGCATAGTCACCATCAATGACCGCTGGACTGTCAACGACGACATTCATCTTCGTAAATTCGTCTGAAAAATTGCTGGTATCCAATTCGTGCGAAATTTTAGGAATCAAAGGTGGCTTGATCTGTTTCTTCTCCAGACCTTCCCAAGTAAAGGCCGGTGCCGCATCCATAAAGAAGGGATGTTCTTTGAGTTCTTTAGCGTCGCGCGGTCCACCGCCTAATCTTTGTCGTGGATCTTTGATTAACAAGCGGGTGATGAAATCGCTCACGTTGGCACTCAGATGGCTCGGCATTGGTGGCGGATCATTCTTCAATATCCTCCTCGAAATTTCTTGTTGATTATTTTTCTCGCCCTCCACCGTAAAAGGCGACGCACCGGTCAGTAATTCAAACGTTAATACGCCCACGCTCCACCAATCGACAGCCTACGAGAATGCCAGCTCGATTACAATACATACGTTTAAACATATATACGTGTCTTTATTCTGTTAATTATATCCAAGACACAATTGCATCTTCTTTTATATATTTTATTTATATATGTAACTTCAAAATATATATTTTTTGTTTTGTGAAAATTTAATTTAATAATTAGTTTATGCTTTTTCATCAATATTCAAATATATAATATAATTATACGCTTAATAATTCAAGTATCATAAATTCAATTATCTTCTAGGAAGAGAGATAAAACCGAGAGATTATCACCGAGTCGTCATCCGAGAAAAGAAGCTACAAAAGTGGATATGGGGATGAAATAACATGCGGCAACGTGAAAAGATAGACAGATATCAACGTTAACTTACGATATCGTGGCCGTTTGGGCCTGCCTTTACCACTTCCGGTGCCATATACTCGATAGTTCCGCAAAACGAGTAAGTACGCGCATTGCCATTTCTTTCGTGCGGTAGGAATTCTTTACTGAGACCGAAATCCGTCAACACGAGATGCCCCTCCTTATCCAAAAGTATATTTTCAAGTTTGATATCCCGATATATTACGCCAAGCTGCAACATCAAATAAAATATTATATACAATAGATTTAATTTAATTTATTTCATTTAGGATTGTTTTCGTTCCTTGTCAAAGATATCTTATTATTGTTTGTGTGCACATATAACATTAGTATATTAATACATACGTCATGAAGGCGCTCTAGCGCCAGGATAATTTCGCCAATATAAAATCGTACTGCATCCTCCGTGAAGCAGTCATGTTGATATAGGTGCGTAAACATTTCACCGCCGGCGACATATTCTGGAAATAGAAAAAAAAATATCTCGTAAGTTCAAAGTTCTATATCCTTAGGGAAGAAAGAAATAGAACAAATTTTTCTTTTTTATGCGTCACTTACAACGACATTTGATACACGTAAGATCAAATAAAAAAAGGGTTTATTTTTTTATTGATACCTTTTATTTTTATTCAATTTTGTTGCACAGATATATAAAATCTTGTATTTTATCCGTATATAGATCTTTTTATTTTGTCTGTAAGTAATTGTTTAAGAAATTATTTTGCAGACAAAATATTATTAGGTGTTGGAATTAATTCGTAGCGTTTTTTAATGAAAGAATGTTATTTATTTCACATGAGCATTAAAAAATACATTAATGAAAGTACTTCCCATCACTTGTAAAACGCTACGAATTAATTCCAACACCTAATAACTTCCATATTACTTATTCAGCAAAATTTAACTTGACACGCATGTATGTTATATTTCTTCTTTTTTTATTTATTTTAGTTTTTACTTTATTTATCCTCTGTCCTTTCCATCGGTAGACTTATTTTCCTTTACTTTCAGTTCTTCGCCGAGTCTCACCTAAGATCAAACAGAGTTTGTCGTCAGTTTGAAACGCGTAATAGAGAGTTATCAGGAACGGGCTGTCCCTGATAGCCTCCAGGATTTGCCGCTCGGACTTGGTATGCTCCGTCGTCTTCTTCTTCTGTACGATGGAGGCCTTCTTCAGCACCTTCATGGCATAAAGCCGTCCGCAGTCAGCACCCGTTCGCTTTCGCACCAGGAAAACTTTACCGTAAGCTGTATGAAAACGAAATGATCAATTTTAAAAGCGTGATACGCATCGCAGTTTAGAAACATTAATAATAACGGAGATTAAGAAATATCCATCATATTGAAAAAAATAGCACAGTCGGAAAAAAAGATCTAAAGCATTACCGGAGATTAATTTACGTATAATACAATATATCGTAACAAAAAAACGTTTAAAATTCGACCTATAACGGTATAAATATTACAATATCCGTTAGAAATAATTGAAGTGTTATTATTACCGTTACAAATAGTTTGAATGTTACTTATTACCGGTGTTGTAAATGTTATGATTCAGAATTGATTACAAATATTATCAAACTGGACCACGTTTCGGAAGACACTTTATCGAATGATTTCTCACCTCCGGTGCCAAGGACTTTCAGCAAGTCAAAGTGTGTCATGTCCACTTTCTGGCTGCCGTTGTCCGCTAGGTTTACTGTAACAGAAAAACGGGAATCCTGTGAGAAAGGTTGGTACTCGATAATATCCGATTGATCATGACATCCGTTATATCATGGCGATTTGGTACAATTGTTACGGAACCGATCTCCGCTCGCGAAAACCGCGCAAACTATATTCGATGCGCCAGTCGAACGCGAACCAGAGAAATCGAAGAAACATATCGATGCAAAATTCTAAAAACGTGTTTTTCGAAATTATAATTAACCCTCCGTTTGCAATCTTTTTTTTTTACTCCTGTTTGCAATCTGATTCCTTTTCGTTCAACCCAAGTTTTTTTACCGCTCTAAATTTTCAAAAAGAATTTACGGCTACTTTTCAACATCTTCATTACTTTATCAAATAATTTTTTAAAATGTTAAAAGCTTTATTTAATATAAAAATTAAAATTTTCGAGCAAAAATGAGGATGAAATTTGAGAGTAAAATTTCGCTTGTGCCCTGGCTGCAAACGGGAAGTTTAAAAGCAAGAGATATGTATTTCACGTATTTCTGTCAAATGACGTTTGCTGATGTAAAGTAGAAACGTACATTGAAAGAGCCGTATAAATAAATTGACTCGATCTCGCTCTGAGTGATCTAACGACTGGACTGGAGTACACTAATTAACAATTTCTTCATTCCTAACGGTCGCATTCTCCTCTCGACATTTGCGTTCCTCGGCGACGCGTTTGTCGCGCGTTCCCAGACGCGAGGAGAGAGAGAGAGAGAGAGAGAGAGAGAGAGAGAGAGAGAGAGTGCGGACGTGATGACGCGCGCGAAGCGAAGCTGACAAGGCTTCTGAACGAGACAATGAGATGCTCCTGGCATTCATTTTTCTCTCGACATCGCATGCGGGAGAGACAGAAAGAAGGAAAGGAAGGAAAGAGGTGAACGTATATATATTCGATGTGACCGAAGCATCGCGTGGAGAACCGAGACGACCAGGACGACGGCGCCTCGAAATGGAATGCCGCTTATTCGACGCGTGACACGCGAAAAGATACGAGCACCTGCGAAAAGGTACGTTGCTAATATCGGCAGGTCGGCAGGTGCGAGGACGACCGTGAATGTGCATACATATCGCGTGAGCGATTCGCCGCGAACCAAATTTATCGCGATTTCGCATATCAAAAGACATATGTCGTCCGTAATTAAAGCAAACGCGCGTCTAACGCACCTGAAAATGAAGGAAAAATAAGTCGTATAAAAATTACGGAAGTATGTACGTAGCGTATTAACTATACGACGTAAGCGACGAGCGGGAGGGATTTCAAGTGTGGCTTTAAGCATTCATGTATTCCATGGCAGCGGAGTTGCGATTATGTTTCAACGTTACATAATTCACGGAACAACTGTATGTAACTGTTGCAGCGAACGTGGCGAACGATAAGAAGCAAGACGAGTAACAATATTGTCCGGTAAATAATGTACAATAATAATTTGATCGTTATTTATTTCTGTCGCCATTCGATTTATTGCTGATCGGCATCAATGGATATATTTCTATCGGAAATATATCCAATATATATGTAGCGGAAATGTACTCGTTTCGGTTTTAATTCTTGGGAAAAACAGTTGCTAATCAGGAAGGAACTATGAATAATGGGCGAGATAAATGAATAAGAGAAAATACCGTGGCGCGTACGAGCGAGATGTACGTAGAATTGATTTCGATTCGGTTAAATGTGTTTTGTTTTCAAGTAACATCTGCAAAGTGTACGTTTAATATTTATACGTCATACGCTACGCGTGACGCATGTTTCATGTGAGAAAATTCCGAAGGGACAGCTGGGATTCGCACCAGATTCTGTGGACCACCCAGAACGCGAATCTTTATCCTCTCAAACATCTTTAAGCCGGTTACACGAGACTTCAGCATTGAAGCTGCACGTGAAATTGCACCTCGGAGTAATTCTGCTAAACATATCCGTTCACAGTGTCCCAGAACTGCAACTTTCTTTCTACTACAGAGTAACGTCGACTTAATCAGTCGACTAATCGCGATCTCTTACCCTAATTTTCAGCCACTAACTAACATAAACGACAATCATCTGCCGAGTAATGTTCTTTTAAATGACCTTTAGACAATCAATAGTATTACAATAGTAGCACAATATTTGATATTGCAATATTATTGATCGTCTAGAGAATATATTGATATTTATTTTTAATAATTAAAGAGGGAATTAATAATAATGTACAAAATAATTGTGTAATACTTAATATTAATCATCTTGAAATCGTTTTACGTCTTTTACATTTTGTACATAACTCTTGTATATATACGTATATATACGTACTATTGTACGTCTTTCGCTTATCTTATCTCCTTTTTTATCTACCTCTTTATTGCGAAACAGTTAAGTGGGTCACAAAGTTCACGGACAATCGGAATCGAAATGTATATCGATACTTATCCTCTGTATTTATCCTGTGTATTTATTTTCAAATTCTTTCATACTATCGCATTGAGAGAAAATGTTTTATATCTATCAATGTTTTATGACTATGGTTGATAAAATAATTATGATTATAGGAGCTCGATTTTTATTACCGCTATAATATTAGTAATAATAATTATATTTGTAATTATCAAAAATATTTAGTGACACTAAAAATGACTATAATTTAGAATTAAATTACAGCAATCGTAAGCATTTTTTTTCTCAGCACAAAAATAAAAAATATGTGGTAATTTCTGCATGAAATAACTTTGCGGTTATACATGTATACATATATTAGGAAAAGATGACTAATAAGACTGTCCCCCTCCCCATTGTGCTTATTTCGTTGACTCATTCGATGGTAACGCAAAAAATGGGAATCTCAAGATTGCGGCACAAGTAGGTCACGATTCTGTTACAGAAATTACTAATAACGTTGCCACTTTCACTTTTGCATCTTCGCGTCTCTGTATCCTTCCGTGGATTTTCTTTTCTTTTTTTACGCCAAGAGAGAAACCCATTTCTCGGTAGAGAAGCGGCGAAAGGAGCCGGAAGATCCAATGAGTTCCGATTAAATCGATGCAAGAAAATCACCGCCAGAGGGTTAAATGCGATCTCACCCGAGACCGCTGAAATTTCCGATAATCCTCATAATCTATGTGTATACAAATTTCTTACGCCATTCAGCAAATTCAGAACTAATCCTAATTAAAAAGTTTAACGTTAATGATTTACTTAACAGTTTAATCACCTAATTAAGTAATTTCTTAAAAATAGAAGCATAATGAGATAATGAGACGTATAGCCCAGTAAGACGCACAATTCATCGAGATTTAACGAAGTATTATATCTTCACATCTCAGTGTCTCAAAATCGCCTCAAAACGTTTTCAAAAAATCGCTAATGTATCGCATTCTTGAAAGTTCAATTCGTACTGTTGTCATTATAAGAAACATTTCTAATCTAGTCGAAATACTAGAGCTTGAGTAATATGAATCAAGCTAATTACATCTTATTTTTACGAGAACAAAATCGACGTAGAAAGAATATTCCGCGATTGCGTAATCGCGGTGCGAACGGGAATCGAGAGCGGGTGATTAGTCGGTGAAAGCACACGGATGCACGGCGGACGTGATCGCGAGGAGTCGCGAAGAGTCGCGAGGAATCGCGAGGGCCGGGGGCTCCTCCGGGGTGGCCCCGGCCCTGACTGCCGGTCCGAGAGAATGCATGTCAAGGTAGCGATGGAGAATCGCATCGGGTGGCGTACGTACCTATCTACGTACATACCTCGCGATTATCGCGAACCCGCGAGTTCGCACACGCGAACTCTTAAGCGCGCGACTCTTCTCACCCCCGCGCGCGCTTCCGAGAAATTGCGAACGCGGAATGACCGACTTTACCGAAGACGTGAGTCAAGTTCGCGGATGGATCTCCGCCGAGACTAACGCGAGACAACCGTGATTCTCTCGAGTTCTCTTAAACTTAAGTTCTCCGATCCGCCTCGTTGCTCGATTCGGCGGCGCGGCGGCGATCCGGGCGGCCTCCTTCGAGGCGGCTCGGTGACTTCGAGGCGCGGAGAGTTTCGCCTCTCCGGTCTCCGTTACCTCGGAACGGCATTCCGGCCCCTCTCACTCGCGTGAATAATGAGTTACCTTTTTCTGAACGCTCGATTGCACCGAGGGAAAAACAATCGGGGGGGGGGGGGGGGGGGGGGGGGGAGGGAGGATGTGTACCGTAATCTCGCGAGGCCGGGGATGCCAATTTGCAAAATTGCCCTCCGCGCAAGAAATATCACGGCGGATTTTCGTGTCTCTTCGGAACATATATCACGTTTCTCATGTGCATTAGATTAAACGAAATACAAGAATTTTAACGAGAAATGAAAAATTCTTGCTCCTTTTACTTTCTTCCCTCACCGGCCTCGAATATATCCATAATCGTGATTGAGAAAGTAAGAAAGGGATTAGGCGATTCAGCGTTCGTTCGAATTCCAAGACGGATCTCAGGGCTCCTTCCTATTTCGTGTCATTTCGGTTTATTACATAACAGATTGAGATTCCATCGAGTTCCGTGATTTCGCTACGGTTTCGCTACGGTTTCGCCGAGGCTGCCGGATGTTTTTTTTTTTCTTTTTAAAACGACCGCTTGGAAATCGTGCGCAACATGGTGTAATAAGTATAATATTCTCGTGGATGCGTAGTAGGAGAGTGAATTTAGAAAATTAAATTCAATTATTTCAGTACGCTACTGCTATTACGTTATACATCTGTCTTATTATACTATAATGCAGAAAATGCATTCTAAAGGTAGCAGGAAGAGAAAAAAAGCTTCTCTACCTCGTTATCGCTTTTAATTCGCAAAGGGCGTATCCACGACCGCGACGGTGCGATCGCGAGGTGCACACCGTCGCGGAAGTTCCGCTTTTGTCTGACCCAGATAGTCGACATTCACTCGCTATTTCGTAACGGGACTGACTACTTTCTTTCGCCAGCCGCGACGTCGGCTCGACTACGAGGGTATGCACAACACCGTGTATACGAATATTTTGTGTGTGTACATGATAGCGATGTGCACGAGACCTTTTCTCCATCGTCCTGCGCGATCAACATGCTTAGGCTTGATTTTCCATTTGCTGGTTAATTTGTGACTAGGCTTAATCTGATGATAACGTAAGAATTGTATCTTTTTATTTATGATTAACTACTAAATTGATTTTGAAATAACCTCTAATGGGTCTTATTACTGTAAAATCATTAATTTAATGATTAATTGAAGCTAGAAAAAATATAAATTTTATTATCATCAATTAATGAGAAGTTGAGAAGTCTAAACTGTAAGTTAATCAAATAATGAAAAAAAAGAGTGTAGTGCCCTGACTTTTACTCTTTGTGATTGAGGAATTTTTATCGCAATACAAAAAAAAAGAGATATCCGTTTTCTAAGTATCGACAGGTTCATCCGTTTAGTTATCAGTGTAAACTCGACGTCACAGTAAAAGGTCGCAGTGAAATAGTATTAATGTAAAACAGTTGCAGCAACAAATGACTTTACAGAATTATATAAGAATTGATCACGATAAATAATCGTTTCAAAAGTACTGTATGTGTATGTTCGAAAATTTAATTTGAATATTTAGTTCATGTGAATTTTCAATATATAATTTTTAGTAAATTATGAACAAAGTCATTTATGAATTCCATCTGCAAAGTATGCGCTGATATGGATCATTATCGCAAAATCGATATTTCCATCTTGATAAACAGAAATAATGTCATGAGTAAAGCGAATGACACGTGTATAGTCGATAAATTAAAAGTAATAATTTTGAAACTTTTTTTTTTACAATAAGTTTCTAAACGCTGCAATTGAAACAAAAAGGAGAATAATTCTTCGCAGAAAAATCAACAAGAAATACAAATATAAGGTATAAATAGCAATCGAGGATTACTCATATAAACAAATGCGCGTTTTATCGAGACAATCCTTTTCTTATCAGATTCTTAAAATCAAATGCAAAATCTGCTTTAATTCCATGGAAAGAACAATTTCACTAAAGAATCTAAAAATTTAACTAGATATGAAAATAATTTTATTGCACTATAATAATTATATAGAATGTTTAAGCATGAATGACAATAATTGCGTTCGTTATAAACACGCTCTAAGCTTCATTCTATCTTTATCGCTCATTACACGAGCAAAACGGAATAAAGCTTAATGTCCCAACGCGAATGCAACCAATATATACTACAAAAAACATTTTGACATTTCTAGCAACTAATTTGATCGTTCTATATAATTATTTTAATGGCCCAAACAAAATTATTTCCAAATTTGTATCCAGCTTTTTCAGACACTTTAACAAAACTATTTCTTTCGTGTATAATTTCAAATAATAGAATAATCCTATCATCAAAAAGGCAAAAGATCTGACAAGTACGCTTCGCAATCGTATCGTATCCACAGCATCAATCTCCAAGAGATATCCTAAAAACGTCTCTTTAAAAACATCTCTGTATATCCTAAGATCATTCTCAGGATATCTCTCGGTTAAAGCGTGCTGATAATATTCAACAATTACATAAAAGGACAGTCGGAGAACTGATAGGATCAAAATTTCAGAAATTTCATAAATGTCTGAATAAATATTATGCTACTTACAAATGAGTGTAACGTATTGATTAAAAAAAATGTTTCCTTAAAAAATATCTATTTTTCCTTATGGATTTATATGTATAAAAATCATAAAATTCTTAAGTATAATTTTTAACAATTATTAGGTGTTGGAATTAATTCGTAGCGTTTTACAAGTGATGGGAAGTACTTTCATTAATGTATTAGGTGTTGGAATTAATTCGTAGCGTTTTACAAGTGATGGGAAGTACTTTCATTAATGTATTAGGTGTTGGAATTAATTCGTAGCGTTTTACAAGTGATGGGAAGTACTTTCATTAATGTATTAGGTGTTGGAATTAATTCGTAGCGTTTTACAAGTGATGGGAAGTACTTTCATTAATGTATTTTTTAATGCTCATGTGAAATAAATAACATTCTTTCATTAAAAAACGCTACGAATTAATTCCAACACCTAATAATATAACATAAAATTTATAACATAAATTTATAATTCATAATTTGTAACATTTAGGTCATGTTAACTGTTCATTTTTTAATCCTTTCTTTCTTTTTAATTAGACTTCAATTCTTCACTAGCGAAAAACATTAAGCGGGCGAGAAGAGAAGAGGAAAGAGCCGCGTGGCCGGTATACCGTGGCGCAACCGTTACTTGATACCGTACTGCCTTGGCGCTACATACATTCCACCATTCCACCATCCTACTCGTGGCGGCCGTGGGCTGATGGGCTCGCGGCACGTGTGGGGCGGTACACGTGTGCCGAGAGAGGCAGCGGCAACTGCTGCTTCAATTAATTGAAGCGATATGGAAACGCAAACGCTGCGCCGCGTCGCGTCGCGTCGCGTTGCGTTGCGTTGCGTTGCGTTGCGTGATACGTCGAGTTCCGAGTATTATCAGCGAGAAATCGAACGGATGGGCACGGCCGACAAGGAGTATCCTCCATTCATCGCGTATCAAAAGTGTCCCGTCATTGCCGCGAGCTCGATAAGATCGAGAGATTAACATCTCGAAATTCCCCGGATTTCACGGACTCTCCAAAAGTGACCGCGGAAAGAAAATTAATTGGGTGGTACAGCAATACTATAGCTACAGCTATAATTTACTATATAGTATATATAATTTACTGCGAATTCGACGTCGATAGCTAAGAAGATTTGATGGTTTAACAAATCGCTAATGTTATTCAGCTGTCAACTTTGTTATTTTAACATGGAAAATTGACTGTCTGTAGATTACGATTGTAGATTTGTTGAATCAGTTTGAAGTCTTCAGCTGTGTTTTTTTCCGTGATCCTACACTATCAGTACTAACAAATATTGACAATATTACTGATCGTGCGTAGTTGATATTGATGGATTGACACAGGATACTGACGGTGATCTGGATTTTAATTTTTAATATCGCTTTATTAGGATTCATGTCACAGTATATTACAATGTAATAGATAACGTACGTAAAACAAAAGTGAAATATATTGTCAATAATACTAATTGTGTGATACAAGTTTGCAAAGATATACTATAAATGTTGATGTGTACTGTCAGTATTATTGATTCAATATTACTGATATGTATTATTGATCGTGTAAGG